ACGACACAATTGGACACCTAGGGTCTTTGTATTTTGGAGGGGTTTTGAGTTGAAACAAGACACTGGCATGTTCTATCAAGAAAACTCTTTTTGGACATTCTAACTTCTCTTGACTTGCACAAGTTTTTTAGAAACTTGGCATAAGATGAAACCTATTTGATTGCATCCAGAAGTGGGATATTGATCTTTACTTGCTTGAAGAGCTTGTAAATTTTTGGTTGATTATTCAATTTTTGTATAGTTTTGAGTCTATAAGGAAAAGGAACAGGAATAGGACACGAGGGTCCTTGTTCTTTTGATGGTTCTGGTTTTTGTTCACTCACAAGTCCAAGCTCCTCCTCAATTACAAGTTCAAGCTTTTCTAATTCAAGCTCAACTAGTGAGTTGACTGGGATTAACTTAGGTTTTGCCTTGGGAATTAGCATATCTCTAATGGTCTTGTCAATCTCCTTGCCACTTCTCAGTGTAGTGACAACTTGGGTTTGGTCTTGTGGAGTTTACATGATTGCAGAATTTTCCATCTAGAATTGGTCTTATGGTGGTTTTGGATTAGGTCAATCTTTGGATGTGGCTTTTGAGATCCTCGAAAGATTGAGTGGTCTGGATTTTGAATTCAGTAAAAGTCTGAGTGGAACTATTATTATAGTTCATTTGGTTGTGCATAAACTAATTCAGAGTATCCTCAAGACTCCTTTTTTGTGGTGGTTGGTATGGTTGATACATGGGAGGTCCTTAAGGTGGTGGGTGTGAACCTTGTTGTTGGTTCATGGAAGTTGGTTGTGTGTTTCTCCAACTAAAATTTGGGTGGTTCCGCCACCCTGGATTGTATGTTTCAGAGTATAGGTTGGAGTAAGGCTTGTTAAAGTTGGAAACGACATTTGTTTGTTCCTACAAAATCTCTTTTAATGCCAGAATAGTTGGACACTCCCTAGTAGGGTGTCTTATTAGTGCACAAATTACACACACTTGTTCTGTGGGAGGGCCAACATCAACTTGATGAACCTTTTTTATCTCTAAAGCTTCAAACTTTCGAGACAAGGTGGACATTTTTGCTATAAGGTCATCATCATCTCTCAAGACATACTTACCCATTTGGGAAGTAGATGGTTTGGTTTCAACAATGGTAGGGGAGGCTGAGTCCAACATCTGATAACTGTCAGATATGGTGTCAAAAAAAAATTGAATGTCTCCTCTGGACTTTTGCTCATAAACTCTCCTTGAGCCATCATTTCGACAAATTGACATAGTCTAGTGGGCAAGGAGTCATAAAAAAATCTTACCAAAGTTCAATTCTCAAAAGCATGATGCAGGCAAGACTAAAGCAGATCCTTGAAACTCTACCAACTTTGGTAAAAGGTTTCTCCTTCTTTGACCGAAAAATTTATGATTTAGCTTCTCAGTGCATTAGTGCGATGTAAAGGAAAAAAATTTCAGAAAAATTTATTTTGTAGTGCCCACCAATCAAGTATTGAAAGAGATTTTAAAGAATTTAGTCATTGCTTAGCTTTATCCGTTAGAGAAAATGAAAAAAGTTTCATTTTGGCGAACTCAGAATTGTCTTAAAAGGTTCCACATACTTCCTCAAACTCTTTTATGTACAGATATGAGTTTTTTGTTTCGAGTCCATGGAATTAAGGGAGTAGTTGAACTGTCCCCATCTTTACAATAAAGAGGGGTGCATCTTCAGGAAAGATAAAACAAGAGGGGACACCATTTCTTGTGGGATTTAAGTAATCTCGTAGAGTTCGAATATTATGCACTTCCCCCTCTCTCACAGGAACCTCTACTCGTCTCTCATCATTTTCCATTCTACTTTCACAAAATTATGCTACTGATCTAGGTGAAGGTGGTTCAGGTTGATTCACAAACCCAGAAGATTCTGCTGGCAAATTTTGATAGTGAAGAGCATCCTCAAACATAAAAATAATTAAAACTAATTTATACACAATGAAGAAAATATACAAAATAAGAGGTCTTTTTATCTTTTACCTTAAAACACCTTGTATGGTTCCCCGGCAACGGCGCCAAAAATTTGACTTGATCCGATATGTGTACACCCAAGTGCAAGCGATCAAGTTGTAGTAATAATCCGGTTAAGTTCGGAGTCGAATCCACAGGGAACTATGATTATTGTTTTGAAGTAGCAGTGATAGAGACCAAGTAATTAGAAACCTTGATAGTTTGAAATTATGGGATTTCCTAAATAGATTATAAGATTCTTTTCAAGAGTTTTCTAAACAAAATATAAGATAAATTCAAATGTAAACAATCACCTTTTAATTCGAGGATCAGAACATGTAGTTAATTATCCAATTTATTATACTTGTGCTTTATAACTCAATTAACTCTCATGTCAACAGCAAGTTAATTGGAAGATAAAGATGGACTGTGAGAATTAAGTTCATGGTTCCGATGCCTTTCTAGAAGTTTACAAGAATTGTCTGTGCCGAGATTCAACCCGTCTACAAACAAGCAAGTGTTTCTACAAGGCCTCCAACCATGACATTAATGTTTCATTCTTTAGATAAAGCACAATAATGGTGAAGATTAAAATGTTGTCATGAAGATCTAGCCGGGGTACTTACCTTGAACCAACGGGTCTTTCTATGCAAGAGTCATCGTGACATAGAGAAAACTTACAATTATACAAAGTACCTTAACTTTGCTAGATGCGTTCAATCATTCACTAAGCAAGTGAAATCTAAAGCATTAAAGCATAAAAGAAATGCACAAATATAACTTCCGAATAATTTATACATATTCATCACCTCTTACTAAAGAGTGAATGAGGAACTACTCACTCTTCATGGCTTGGGTAAAGTTAGAAAAGTGAGTGATGTTCATCCCTCTACATAGAGAACTTACAAGGTAAAGTACAATAAGCGAGGAACTGATCTTTGACAAAGAATGAGTGAATCACGTTCCACCCTTCACGGCTTTGGTAAAGGTCTAGAAAAGTTGAAGAGTTTCACTCCTCTAAGAAAGAAGAAAGCTCAAGCAATGAAAGTGAAAGACAGTAAATGAAAGTAGAAGAAAACTAGATACTTTTGGAGGGTTTCCATCACAACCAAAAGAGGATCTATCTCCCTTGATACAATTAAATATAAGACTAAGTCTAAGACTAAGTATATGAGTGGGAGTCTAAGCCTCCATATAGCTCTTGACTAGTTCTTGGTGTAGTCCAAGCCTTACAAACCAAGTTCTAGTCTTTTACAAGAACTCCCTCCTTCAAAGCTCCTCAAAAGGGAGTATTTATAGGCAAAGAGGAAGGGGGGAGACAAGAGAGTGTGAAGGAATAGTGTATGCCGCCTAAGTTCAAATGAAATGCCAACTACTTTACAACCTGCCTGTGAAAAACGTGAGTTGGTGTTCGAACGTTGTATCTGTTTTTCCTTTACGGCGTTTGAACGTTATATGACGTTCGAACGTTTCTTTTGTCTTTGCTTTATAGGTGTTTGAACGCCAGATGGGGTCTGACCTTCTCACTCAAGTGGTCTGTGGTTTTTTGTGAAAACCTATTTCCAAACTCCATGCAAATCTTGGCCTTTTACACTCATCAGTCTGATCTTCAATCAATTCAAGTGGACATTCGAACGTGAGTTGACATTCGAACGTTCTTGGCTTGGTCCAAGCTTTTCTAATTTTTCTCCAGAATATGCTAGTGTTGCATTAAAGTTTGATGTTCATTGCCTTTAGTCTCTTGTACAATTTATGGCCTGAAATGTCATCATTTAAACTCCATCAAAATATAATTATTCTTAAAAGAGTATAATAATATGCTAATTTTAACCACTAATCAGTGGTGGTGGTGGTGGTGGTGGTGGCGATGACAAAATGGTACTGAAGATATTTTTGTCCATTATGAGAAATTGATAAAATTTTTATTGATTGATATTTTCAGTATTAAGTGATAAGTAGGTAGCTTGCTACTTTACATTTAGCCTATTTTTAAGAAGTGCTTAAAATATTAAATAATATGAGTTTTAAGTTATCAAGCGGGTTTAATTTTTTAAGAGTTTAAAGTATTCAATTTTAAAGCCTTATGTGGTGTTATCAAATAGCCCCTTAATAGTAAGATTAAAAACGGATTTATCCTCAAATAAATTTTCTTGAAGGACTAAACTCATTATAAGTCCCTTAAGGAAGATTCAACCCTAATTTTACAATTTAATATTCATGTTGACCTCCAATGAGAGATTTTCTTGCTTGGGCATGTTCAATTTATCATCTATACTCGTGTCCTCCAATACTGGAGTTAAGGACAATAAGAAACTTAAATAGTGTAATTAAAAAAAAAAAAAGGAACAAGAATTATCGCAAACATATCACACGAGATTGGCCCTCAACGATGTAGGACCAGAGCCACTAATGAGTTCGATAATCTACCACCAACATTAAACAGGGATTTCCATCACCGCAATTGCAACTTGTTCCCAAAGGCACTTGAGATGTATGCGGATAGTGATGGAGGGGGATGATAAGAGAGATAAAATTAGAAGCAAGCAGCAAAAATGACGCGGACTCCACTGAAGTACCTTCTTCTGCTCCAGCTGTGAATTCCATCACCACCAACAATGGAGCTTTTTTTTTTTGATTGGGAGGTATCTACATTCCCTGATAGAAGACCACACATTCACATACCACACCTACTGCTGCAAAGCTATTTATAGTTTTGGGGATCATAGGTGATTTGAAATTTTGATAATATTGCTCTCATGAGCAATTAACCTTTTTCCATAGCTCCATTGTGGAGTTTGCAGTCAAAATTTTCCGTCAAATTGGTCTGAAACAAAGGCACCCGCTGATGAGATGACTATAATGCGTGCATGACTAATGGCCAGGTACTAAATTGAACAGGGTTGCAATGGATGAGAGTCAATTAAGAATTTCACTGGATTCGGGACCCTATATCACACTACCTCATTGCCCTATTAGGGTTAAGAGTGATTAAGCCCATTTGATACTAATGGCCATTACAACTACGGGTTGATCAGAAGAAATCACTTCAGGATACATTCGAGTAATCCAAGTATAGGAGTTTATTCAATCATTCAAAATGGGATGTTTTGTACAGTGGCTCAAATGTATTATTTCACAACCTTTGGTAATAGCTTTATGTGTGAAGAAAACATAGTTCATCACACTTCATTCAGTTCTATTGAGCAAACCACACACAAACAGACTGAATGTTACATGCACGCAGGTAATGAAGAACAGCTGCTGTCACGCAGGTAATGCAAAGCTCTGCTGTATAAAGTGAGGAGGATCCATCACAGCACAAAGATCGGACTTCTCAAAATCAGCAACCTACAGCCAACGAGAATAAGTAACAATAATTAGGGATAATCAACAAGCTACCACACAACTGAAAACTGTGTAAAGCTTTTTACCTTCTCATTGCAGGTAGGGCAATAGTGATACTTATGCCAGAGGCAGTCCATGGAAGGGCAAAGAAAGCAAATTCCAAGCATCATTGGCATCATGCATCCAACAACAGCTGCCAGACTTGGTTTTGACCTGGATTGCATTACAACATCCCGTTTAAAAAGATCCAGGGAAAGGGAACTAGTGTCAGTAAAAATACAACTGAATCTTTGACACAAGGAAAGTAAACGAGGCCAGAATGAAGACAATAGAAAAGAATAACAGCACTACAACAGCATTAGATTAGTCGAACTTTTTCCGGACTTACGATTCAAAACTTCTGAAATGTTTCCATGAAAACTGAAATGAATCATAGAATTAAGACCAAAATCTTATATTTTGAGTTGTTTTCATATGTTGGGATGTGCTCTGGTATGTATGTTTTGATCAATGTTTCGAAAATAAATTTTTAATTTTTTTTTTTGCTTGTTTCGGTATTCAGCCAAAACTATCCGCCGAAACTTGAAAGCACTACCCTATTGGACTAGCGTAGTTCTTCTCCACATTAACAGGTGCAGATCTGCTCCTTCTATTGTTCAATGCAGGTATAAACATGCGAAATCTGAAGCCATAGCTTGCAGAGAGAGGAAATCAAAACCTAGAGGAGGCATTATCTTTCTTTGAACATCAGGTTACGAAAGAGGGGTAAACCCAATAAAGATCATAATCCTCGAAAGGATTGGGATAAAAAAAAATTCTATAACTGATCTCCAGAGAAGATCAAAAGCCTATATTAATACATAAAATTCCAAAGCGATCAACACAGTTCATTCCATTCCAAGGCGATCAACAAACAGGATAGCAAACCAAAAGCAATAGATGATTGCTAATTAAGTATAAGCCCTAATAAAAATGGGGGGGGGGGGGGGGGGTGATGAAATTTACTTGACGGTGGTGACGCCGGAATTCCCACAGTAGACGCAGTTGAAAGGAGCGGGGGTGTCTCTGTAAATCGTCTGTTGGATGGGGATCCCTTTCGGGTCTCCAACAACGGCGTTTGGAGGGATCATTCCGGCTTGGTAGGGGTTCGCTCCGACGTAATACTGCTGATGAATCTGCTGGGGCATAGGAGCCTGGTAGGCAGCATTATAGGGGATCCCGATCGCCGGTTCGTCGTTCTTCGACATCGCTTGTTTTCGTCGGCTCTGAACTTGGAGATCAACGATTGATCGAGGATGTATCTAGAATCAAAATAGAATTCAATTTGTCACACCGCTGATCAGATGTGAGGGGTTTTGTACATTCAAACACGCGTTATCAAGGAATCTGTGGTTCAACAGGCCGTCGTTTTAGAGAATACTGGACTTGTAGCCTTCTAGATGGCCCTGATGTGGGTCCACCCAAAACGTGGCATGCTGTGATTCCGTGATTCTAAGGTTGGGGGTGGGACAAATACGCAAATGGCTAAACTTTGGAACAATTACAGCCAGATGTATGATATTTGTCGTTAAATTATTTAGACATATGATAGCTGCGTGATAAAGTATGATATAATATAAATATCAAAAGATAAATAAAATAATTTTTATTATTTGTGATTGTGATCGTTTCAAATTTTACTTTAAAGTTAATTTAACGGTTAATATTAATATTTTTAAATTTAATAAGAAAAATAGGATTCTAAAGATGTGTTTGAAATAATTTTTTTAAAGTATTTCTAAAAATTATTTATCATAAGTACATTAAAAAAAATAGTGTTTAAAATCACCTCACCGCTATCTCTACCACCGCCACCCCCACCCCCACCGCCACCCCTACTGTTCTACCACCATCACCACTGCCACCACCACCATCATTACCACTGCCACCACCATCACACTTCCATTGCCCCACCACCACCATAACCACTACCACCACCGCCCACCACTACCACCACCATCTCACTATTATCACTACCACTATTACCACTGTCCTACCACTACTACCCCACCACCATTATCCTCACCACCACCGTTGTTGCACCATACCATCATCACCACCGTTACTGTTCCACTACCACCTCCATCATTATCATAACTATCACCACCATCGCCAACCCACCACCACCACCATTGCCACTACCCTACCTTCACCTTCACCCCATCCCTACTGCCCCACCATCACCACCACTATTACTATCGTCATCCACCACCAATTGCTACCATCATCGTCCATGACCACCACCCACCACCATCGTCTTCTTATTCTTATATTTATTACAATTATCATCATCATCCCACTATTATTGTCGCTCCACTGTCAGCACCCACCACCACCCATCGTCGCCACCAGCCACTATCACTTACCTCACCACACCTACAATAACCATTTGTCATCGCCCACCATTGCAGCACCCACTGTCACCTATCCCCCTACCACACTTACCAACCCTCCCCCCCCCCGGTCATTTGTTACTACTCAACACATTGTCGCTAGAGAAAACATCTATCGTCACTCACCACCACCATAATCACCGCTCACATACCACCATCTTCATCCCACCACCTCACTATCAACCCACCATCACTGTCGTCCACCATCACACGCACTCACCAACGCCATCATTGTTACTCACGATTGTCACTACCATCATCGTCATTCAAAATCCATCACCACCATCACCATTGCCACCCAACAATTGTTACCACCACTACGGTCGTCGCCTTACCCCACCACAACCATTACCATCTTCCACTATCACCACTGTCACCCACTACCGCTCACTCCCACTATAATCAATGCTTAAATTTCTTATCTCTGTTCTATATTTATAATTTAATTTTAGTATAAATACAAATATATAGACCATTTTTTGTATTATTTCATGTCTTTAGGCATAGGAAATAATTAGTTTAAAATATTATACGCAAATCCTTAAAAATTTGTATGCGAATGACACCTAGACCCCCTGCCATCAAATGTTCTTTAGTATATTTGATAATAAATTACATCCAGACATCGTGAAATTTATAAGCGCAAAATACTTAAACCCCTCAAATTTAAAATGTAATACTTAGATTAAAAAATACTTCAATTAAATATAAAATATAAAATATTTTAAACTTTATAACCAAAATTCATGTTCTATTTTATCATTATTGAAATAAAATAAAAAAAAGTCAAATTTTTTTTAAAAAAATAATAATTAATATACAATTATACTATCTATTATAATTGTACTTTTCATTCAAAAATTAAAGATCATTTCTTTCTTGCTTTTTTTGGTTCGTTGAGGGGTAGCGATTTTTATGAAAAAGATTGAAGTCAAAGATGTAGAATCAAATGTGTTATGTGAGAATAACTTGGATTTGTGAGTCTTTTAGTTTATTTTAGATCGTTCACTGTAGAACTTCGTTTTTTGTTTTGAATAATTTAGTTTGGAGTGAAAATGACGGAAAGAAAAAATAAAATAATCAGAAAAGTGAATAAATCAGTCTGTTTTTTTGTTTTCTAGCTTCTCCATTGAGAGAGAGGAGAGAGTGTCACGCACGCACTGACGGACTCAGTTTGGTTTTTGTTTGGTGTTCACAGCCAGATCCTGTGGTTTTGTTTTCTTGCTTCTCCGTTGTATTGTCCTCAGTTAATTAGAGAATATGTTGGAGATAAAGCATATTGCTAGTTCAACAATGCTTCATCCACCAAATCTTTAACCAAAATTTAAATCTCAAATTTAAAGCTAGCTGGTACCATTCGCAAGCAAGCTTTACTGTATATAGTCTTCAATCTTTAGTAAGAGCTAATATTAACTAATAAATTATATTGTTGGAAATAGATTTTAGTATATTTTTAAGGAAAACTTATTTTTTTAAAAAATTTTAATGTTCTTTATTATATATTATAAAGTAATATATTAAATCTTATCTCAATTGACCTAACTAATTCTATATCCAGTAAGATTTCAATATGATTGGTATATTGATAATTATTTTTATTTTATTTAATAATTTATAAGTAAAATCTTAATTAATTTTAAAAATTTTAATTTTTAAATATTACTAAAAAATCACTTTCAATTACAAAATTTTAGAAAAAAAGAACAGAACTTTAATTATTTCTTCTTCTTCTTCTATCCTTTTTCTTGAAGTTTGGACAACAAATCTTTGGAACATACAAAGTTTCCAAAATTCTATAATAGAGTATGAGTAATGTAAAAATAAGTTTGATAAATTTAAAATAATATTTAATTCAAGTATATATATAACAAATATTTATTTATTAATTTTTAACTGAAAAAATTATTCACGTACAACACACGTGGTGCATTGCTGGTTAAAAAGCAAGTTACAAAATACATGTAAAAGCTTTAAATTAGTTTCATGAAATAAATAATTGCATAACATGTAGTTTTATCTATTTTATGGAATAAATAATAACAAAAACAAATACAAGGGAAACAAAAAAAAAAAGATAATAGTATGTGAGAGAGAGAGAAAGAGAGAGAGAGAGAGAGAGAGAATATAAGATAAATTGAGAAATGAGAGTCTTAGGGTTTGTAAAAGGAGTGAAAGTCTAATTAGGACCATCGGATCAAGCAATCTGAACCGCGAAAAGTTTAAGATAAATAATCTAACTACTTTATTTTATAGATAGAGAAAAAATAGGAGGAAAGCCAAATTTATTGTCAAAAATGACAAAACATAAAACGATAAAAATAAAGAGTCATGTTGAAGTAGTGTGTAAAAATATACTTTCTATTATAACTTTGTACTAAAGATATCCTCTATTTTAGAAAAAATTGAGAGCACTATTGGAAAATGTTCTTACTATTAGTTTAAGGTTTTTCTTTATTATTTTATTGATTATTTGATTAGATTTTTTTAATTGATATTTTTTTTTATGTTACACTGTCCTTTCAGATATAAGACCCAATTTTTGGGTTCATGGTAGAATAGAAGGGAGGAGCTTTTCCAATTCACTCCTTCATCAGCCCCAAGATTTTGGCTACAAAATGGAGGATTTAAATGCCCGAACTCAACTTCTTAGAGAAATGCTGGAGGGTTTTTGCGGCAGGAAAATAAGAGAAAATATCTTCGGATTCTTTCCTCCATCGGGGTAATATTCATGGGTCCCTAGACATGGATTCCTTTGGCCTAAATCACTCTACCAGATTTGCATGTATTCGGATCTTATGTCATTTCGATTTCAGTGTAATTAGAATGAATAATGTGTAAGGTTCTAAGACCTGTTGGTTATGATTTTAAATTCTGTTTTTTTAAATAAAATTTCCCTCGCTAAGTCGAGGTTTAATTTTTTTTAAAAGGGTATCATCTTTTTTGCGGTTGTTTTTAGTGTTATATAGGAATTTCATTCATAGTGTCTACTTAGATTTTGTAATTTTTTGTATTATGCAATGCCTACAAGCATGACTAATTGTTTGTGATTTTTTTTATCTTTTATGTAGTGCCTTTAGATACGAGTAATTACTAGTATTACAATAAAAAAAATTGAATTCTCAATTTATTATATAGAATAATAATTAAAATTGGACCAGATTAAGATTAACAGTAAGTCTATTAACATTTACCCTATGTGAGACATGGCCCAAGTTAGCCAATTGTATGACAAGGAGGACTGAGCCCAAAGGTTCCAATGCCTCAAAATGACTCTGGCAAAAGTAAAGGGAAAAGCCCAAAGGTTCTCTACCTTAGAAAGGAAGATTTTTAGAGAACCCTATACTCTGATGAGCTACTTAAGAATTCAGTTAAACATACAGAAATATCAATACAGATTTAAGCGTGGCATTGCTCGTCACAATAACATTTTTTCTATTTAACCGATTTAAAGGTTAACTAAGTACACCACAACCACAACCACCACCACCACCACCACGACCATAATCACAACCACAACGGTATTGCTCACCGTCTCCTCATAGTTCACATCTATGTGGCCGCAAAGGGTATACTAATATTTTGTTCGGTATGACAAAAAAATTGAATGATGAAAAGTTAGAAGGATATATAAAATATCATATTTTGTAAAAAAAAAATAGATGGATTAACATTTTTTCCCGCTAACCAAAATATATCCCTCCAAAAATGAGAGCAAGAGTGGATGAAAATTTAATTACGTGTGTTAAAATGTCAAGTTATTTACCTTTATATCCTTTAATATATGCATATATTTTATTTATCTGTTACATATTAACTTTATATGTAGATAGGATGGTAAAATATACATTTATATTTTTTTTATCCTTCAACTTTTTCATTCTATCGAACACAAAAAAAGTCAATTATTCTTACTTTTCATTCCTCCTACCAAACACAAATGAGAAAAGGAATGATTCATCCCTTAAAAGATAAAAAATATATCACTCTCAATTTATATATATATATATATATTTTCTATGTTTTCATACTAGCATAGTTGACCCTTGTATAGCTTCGATCGATTCAAATAGATTGTGTGTGAAGGCAGGAGGCATGTGCGACAACCATCCCTAGTTGTATATATTTTTAACATAAGCCACATTTATTTATTTATTTAGCTCAAGTCAGCACAACATTGTGGGCTCATAATAACTCATACGTTGTCCAATGTGTATGGTTAAGATAGACGATTTATTTGATTTAATATAAGAATTTAGACATGGGGAAATGTTTCGATGGTTGCCTTGCAGAAGGTTTGCTCTTAAATAAACTAGAGAAACCTAATGAAAGAGACTAACTGTACGTGGGTGCCCACCACCATCAGTGTTAGTATTAGTATTAGTATTAATATTTATAAAAGAGCATGCCTGAGGCCAGTTGAGCATGTTCCCTCTGTGGACAGAACTAAACCCATCGTGCAATGTGTAGGGAATGGATCGGGAAGCTCACTACTTTTAATTCCCATAAGTTTATTTCTCCAAGACATACAAACACCTATTAAAAATTGTTGTATACATTTGACTTCATAAACTCACTTGGTCACTAATGCATACATACAATTTGTTTTTCCTAATTAGCAAAGAATTTAGTCAGGAAACAAGATTTAGACGATTGCACATGAACTTAACCCACCCCATTTCTTAATTTTTAATTTGCAGCAATTATCCGATGGATGTGCCGAGAAATGTTTGCTATGAAACCAATGAATGGTCAAGATGAGATGTTATGCTTACATAAGATATACTTCTTCCCACATGGAGCCAGCAAGCAAGGCTCCAAAAGCATTGACAAGGTGATTTATAGTCTAGTTAACAGTAGCACTATAATTACCTAAACTCGATATTAATGTAGGCGTTAAGCAGGTGGATAGCCAATCTAACCCCCATCCCGTAGACTTGATGGCTGGACGGAAGTTTGTTGGATGGTTGAAATTGAAAACTTTTCAACTAAACGTTTGAATTAATGTAAATCTTGACCATAATCTACCAATTAAGAATTAGTTAGTAAACAAAAAAATATAGCCTCGTGGGAAAAGGAGGGATCACTAAGGAGAGATCATTATCATTAATCGAATCCCCCCCTACCCTAAGATTAATATCCAATATTTAGTAGATGTTGCTCATATTCTCCCAGTTCGGGTTCATAAGTGAATCAGATATTTTTAATTCTTGTTGGGAAGTTGTAATTGAACACCCTATTTGTTTACTGTCTGTATTTACCATTGCAGATCATCATACTAATGGCTCTCAAATTAAAATCCGAATGTAATCTAAAAATTAGATAAATCTTTGACTGACAATTTATTCCATTGCCATCTTGAGCGTACATGGTGGGCTTGCAAAATATTATTGGGTTTCTGAAAAAATGGGAATTGTGACTGAAATTCCAATAATCCAATGAGCAGAGAGAGAGACTCAGAAAATGGATGTCTGAGTCATTTGAAGCAGACTCCTCAGTCCCGCGTTAAAACTTGGTAGTGGAGAGTGCCAGTGAAGTGGCTGGCTTCCAAACTGGACTCGGTCCTGCCATTTGAAACGGCAAAAACTTTTACCAAAAAAAAAAAAGAAAAAGCTCCAGCTTTCTTTTTTATAATTGCGTTTTTACCGGTTCTTTCACTTAGCCCCCATCTCTCTCTCTTAAAAATATTTATCAGATCTCATTATTCTCTGATATCTTCAGTCCCACCCCAAGAAAATTCTACAGCCTATAAAACTCCTAAAGATGTGCCATGACCAATAGTGGGGCGGCACTGTGAGACATATTGCCAATGCACTTGCACAGTCGATCCTTGGTGGTATGCACAGCTCTGGTCCGGTCCTACCAGGTGGTTCCGTGAAAGATTCCCACGCGCATTTCATGGCCCGTCAAACTCCTATTTTTCTATCTCTAATCTACTTCCCACCTCTGACTTGAATATATTTCTTCCTTTTATATATAGAACCAAACCACCCTTCTAATCCCCCCCTTCTCTCTCTCCATTTTTCCTGATATTCTGTGTGGATATATGATTTGGGTTTTTGATTAGGGGGTTATAGAGTTAAGATCTCCAAAAACATGGCGACTATAACATCGTTGGAGAGATCTCTTCAGAACTGTTCGTTAAACCACCAACAAAGCAGTAGTAGCAGCAGTAGCAGCGTAGGGATTGGAAGCTCATCAACCGCGGGGAATCAGCATGATGATCTCTCTTACTCAGCCGACAACACATTGGAACTCAATTCCCAGATCTCACTTCCTTACCACTGGGAACAATGCCTCGATTTAAAGGTTCGTACTCACTCAAGTACCACTGAATGGAACTGTCATATCCTCTTTCTCCTTCAGACTTCATTTAATACACAAGCTCTATAGATCCGGCACTATTTTTTCCTTGTTTCTTTCACAAATCTGCCTTCTTCTTGATGGCCGCTATTTATTGTCTCCCCGCTTTTCCCGTTTCACCCACAAAGAAAGAAAAAAGATTAAAGACGAAACCCTAAAAAGGGCACAAGGTTTTCTTTTTCTTTTTTTTTTTTTTGTGATGTAGTTTTTCTCTTTTTAGTTTCACCATTAACTACTTTCTTTTCTTGTTAAAGTTATTTTGTTTTCCCTCATGCTGGTAGTATATTGCTGGTTTATTAATCCACTTTCCCGATTTTATTTTCCGATTTTATAGTTTTCTTTTGTATAATTGAAGGGTGTACGTTTATATGTTGCAGACGGGGAGATATATTACCTAAACCGGAGCACAGGGATGAAAGCGAAAGAGGATCCAAGGACAACTGCCGAGTCCAGTGGAGATATCTACAGCGAAGGTGATAGCTCGTATGACAGTGAAGGGTCTTCGTCGGAGTCATCTCCTTCATCATCAAGAGAACCAATTAATCATCGGAGAAATGATAAAAAAGGTCATGTACTCGTCGTGGCTGGGTGCAAGAGATGTCTAATGTACTTCATGCTGCCCAAACAGGTGGAGGATTGCCCCAAATGTTCTGGTCAACTTCTCCATTTTGATCGATCCGATAATAGCTTTCCATGAATGATTAATCACTTGCGTTTGATATGTGGATCTTTTCTTCTCCTTTCATTCTGAAATTCATTTATATTACAATCTAAACATCTCTATGCTTTAGAAGTTTTCAGTGTGGATTGCTGAAATAAGACCAAAGGCCATCTTTTGTAATCCTAACATTCTTCTTTATGTCGTTAGTTTTTTTCCCTGGGTTTTTTTTTCCCTCCTTTTTCCTATCAAATTTGTGTTTTGAGACAACATTAATGAAGTTTTAGAGAGAGATGAGTTCTCAACCTAGCGGTAGGAGCAAGGTCAAACACAACACGGTAGGAGAAAAAAAAAATTCCAGAATGGTTTCGACATGTTGCTATTGATTCGATTAATGTCCATGTCTTATGATTGATAATAAGGTTCTCTCTTTTTAATGTGCAAAATTAATTTTGTTTGTCTTTGACAAAACTCAGTGATCAACCTTCCCAAATGCAGCCTGAACTGGTTTGAACCCCCCCCCCCCAAAAAAAAAAAAACCTTAATTATCAGCACAATTGCCCTCCATGATAAAATAAAACCCAGAAATTAAGGATTGGTTTAACCATGGGGCTGGGTGTAGAGCCAATGGCCAATTGAAGAATAAAACCCTCAGTCATGACTGTCAGCAGAACAGATTGTATATACTTTCTCCGATTAAGGAGAATTATGCACTCCACGAAATAATATAGGAGTTGTCCCTAGACTTAAAGGAAGGAAAAACAAAAAATGCCCCTATGACCTGTTCTAGTGAAAGCAATGAAAATATAGATGTTATATTTGTGTCTATCTTATTCAGATTTGGCCATATCTTACCGGTAGGACATCCAACTTGTAAGATAATAAGACATTCAGGTGAAGGTTTTTGTTTTACAAGTGGGGGTTGGTTGGATGGATTTTGTCAGTCATTTGTTTATCTCTTCACTTAAAAATGGAGTGGTAAACTGCTAATGGAGTAGATGAAGGGGCAAATATTTAGGTATATGCATAAGCCCAACCTAAAAGATAATACTTTCCTCATTTTATAAAGTGATGGGTGGCTAGAACCAACGTATCACCTTCATACAATCTTTCTTTATGGTAATAAAAAATTTTACATTTCTTTCATTCGTCAGTTTGTTCTAAATTCCTCATCATCTTGTTCTAAAGTCAATAAGGGATAAAGCATTAGAATATTGTTGGTGTAACATCATCTCGCATCATTTCATGGTTGATTTTTGTGCTATGTTGCCATTCGACAAAATAGGGCGTTTGTCATATGGTATTGTATTGCTTGTATTAGTTAAAGGATTATAAAAAAGTTGGTTAACTACCATTTTCAAACTATTAGGTGCTTCCACAATTCATTTGGCCGTTCATCAAAGAGGACTGGTTCACTTAAATAAGGAAATTATTATTTGAACTTAACTTAGGGCTTAATCATTTATAATTATTAGGCTAAAAATGAGCTTTATCTAATATTAAAAATCACAACTAATCCAGTATATATATTGAATATGGGCTCTGATTAGATTCTAAATTAGGTTCTCATAAGACCATCTTCAATGGAGACTCAAACTCTTATCCAAATTTGAATAAAAAAAATGGTAAAAAGTTTGATTTGGTATATGTCTCTTCAATGGAGAAACTTAAATTTAAAGGAGCAGAAACCTTTTCTTAAATGAAAACAAATCCAAATTTAAAAGAGGGTAAATATGATCATTAAATCTTTAAAGGATGATATAATTTCATCATTGGTAAAAAGTGTAAGGATTTAAGTTTCTTTTAATTTGAGTTTATAAAAGAGTTTCCTTTTATTTGGTTTAGGTATGAGTCTAGCACTGGAGAATATTTTTAAGTGTTTTTTTACCCTTTTTTAAAAAAGAATATAAAAAAAGGTAAGGACCGGAGATGCTTGAACATTGCTCTTTAAATGATATTGAGAAAAATGTTCTTTCTTTTTTATCCACGGGGGAAAATCAAATCATTGTAAAGCTTATCCCTAATCTTTTCCATGTCTACAAAAAATGTACATCTAATATGGTGCATAAGCAACGTTATTGGAACCTATTTATTGGCATAATTCACTATAATCTTTGAATTGACTATAGATCTTATCAAACATTAAAATTTAGTGTTGATCCAATAATTTCATTAAAAAAATATCATTAAATTAACAAATTAGATTGAAATAACATTTCTATGGTGCATTATATTAACTCCATATTATTCATATCATAGTGGGCTGGACAAAAGAGACCCCTTTGGCGGCCCATCAACCAATGGGTTTGGATTCTCTCCATTTATGATGTTATAAATTTTTATACAGTTTAATCGGTTATCATTAAATTTATGAGTTTTCATGAGTGTTAACGAAGATAATAGAAAGCCCTAGGTTAAATTTGATTGAAATTGGCAAAATTTAAAGTTGAGTTAAACCAAATCTAATAACCACGTGCAATACTTAAGGTTTGTATACCATCTAACTCGTTGTGTGCCAAGTTGTAACTCTTTAGGTCAACACTAATAAAGTTGATTGCGTATCCAAGTTATGTGACAACTGTCCTATAGCGAGTTTCTTTGCTGTAATTTTGGAGTTTTATTTGATCTAGTGTAATGACTACAAGAAAATAAAGGGACCTACTTGTATATAATGAGTTCCATTTAAATGCATGATAGATGATATGTCAATAAAAAAATTAAAAAAAAAAAAAATATATATATATATATATATTTGAGAGGATTTCAATAAACGTTTAACAGTCCAACGAGTCTCACAACATATGTTTTAATGTTCTATCTAAATGGTACATTGTCACCCATGTCAATTGGGAGAATCCAAGTTTAAATTCCCCTTCCCCTCACACTGTACATGAAAAAAAGGAAAAAAAAAAGTAAAATATTATTTTCTTTTTAAGTATGAATTCTCAAAAGACTAAGGGGGGAAAGGTTTTCTATATAATTGCTGATAATGTTAATTAGCATCCCATGTATTAGAAGTATGTCCTTTAAGAAATAAGTCGAATACACTCACTTATAAAAATTGAAAAAAAAAATTGGTTGAATTGCAATTTATTTGGTGATTGTTATTTCCTTCTAATGTCATTTTGTAATATTTACGTATAAATATAAATAAATTTTGTGCATTATCATTAAACAAAAAAAAAAGAATTGCTTCAACTATTTAACTGCTCCGTTAAATGACAATCTCATAATATTTTATTACCAATTATTATCTGTGCCTGAAGGTACAGAGTAATAAAAATATTTATATTCACACCTAAAATCAAATCATAAACATAAAAGAAAGAGAAAGTAATTTAACTACAATTGTAGTGAGAGTAAGTGGTGAGAGTGGTGGTGGAGTGGCAACAATGGCAAAGGTGGTGGTGGTAGAAATGGTGATGGTCATAGGGGGTGGTGGGGGGTGATGGTGGTGGGTTGGTATGGGTAGTGGTAGTAGGAGTGATGATAGAATATTGGCAATGGTGGTAGTGGTGGTGAGGTGACAGCAGTGGTGGTGGCGACGATGGTGATGGTAAGGGTAGTGGTGGTGGTTGTTGTGCAGGGGTGGTGATGGAGTGACAATAGCGGTGGTGGTGATAATGATGGGGCGATGAGGGTGGTGGTATGGTGGTTCTAGTAGTGATGGTGATGATTGTTATTGTGGCAGAGGGGTGGCGGCGGCGGTTGTAGTGGGACTATTCTGCAAACTATTTTTTTTTAAGTATTTTGCACAAAAAATTATAAGTTTTAGAAACACTTTTAAAAAATTATCTTAAGCACATCCTTAAGGATTTGTTTTTTATATTAAATTTGGAGTCTTAATATTTACTATTGGATTAATTTTAAAGTAAAATTTAAAGTGATCTTAACTGTAAAAATAAAAGTTATTTTATTTATTTTTTAAAATTTAAATTATATTATAATTTATTATATAGATGTAAGAAGTGCAAAGAGTGCAGGATAGTGGCTGTGGTAAAACTGAAACGAGCCCTTCACGCTTAGACCAAGTAAAATGCTACAGAGGTTGAATTGTATATAACCATTTGTTTGTAAGAAAAGGAGAGCCTCCTTAGTCCTTCCCAAAAGATTCGATTTGCAGAGCAACAACTAAAAAGAAGGGAGAGAGAGAGAAAGAGAATGGATTAACTGGACCTGGAGGAAACAAAGCACCTTTCTTTACTTGCATGGCAGAGAGGAATCTAAGAGTACTGCAGAACACTATAGAAAGGGATAGATGAGGAGAGAATGAGACGACAGGTACCAATAGAGATGAAGAATGGTCTCTCTCTCTCTCTCTCTCGGTTGGTCAAAGACAAGGGGTTCGATACTTCGGAGAAGGGTAGGATCCATTACGCTGTTCCGCTTTTTATCAATTGACCATTCAAACTGTTCTCAGTGGGGAATCTCTGTCTCATTTCTCTATTCATGCCCTTGTTTATTTCCTGCTTCGCGTCTTCCTAGCAATTATTATACGTCGACAGCACGTCGCTCAGACTTATAAAGCTGTGTTCCTACAATTTCATTGTACGTACTAACTCTGCTTCACTGTCTCTATATGTGACATTTACCCCATAATTCATTTGGTAGAATTGAGTGGTCAATAGTTTGAAATTTCAAGTTAATGTTTTGCACTTTGATTGGAGTTGTTTATGGGTGATTACCTGCATTCTGAATTGACATGGCAGGTTCGAGCCTAAAGTATACTCTATTGAGTCCGTGTCCTACTATACACATGAGCAAAACAATTTTATGTCAGAATCTAAAGCTTCAAATTTATAGCAAGGGTATACCCAAAGATAGATTAAGGACACCATAAATGAATGAAAAGAAAAAACAGTCCGACTCACTTTATTTCACCAAAGTCATGACAGAAAGTTGGATAAATGGGCGACGGTTCTTTCGCGCACATCTCTTTCCCAAGGGTTTTGTTTTTTGATTGGATTTGAACCAAATATTGGATGTCCCACACAGATTTTGTTTTGTTGCAGAAATAATCTTTAAAAGATTTAATTTTCTTATGGAACATTTCCAACACATTATATAGAGGGAACAGAGGCAGAGACCAAAAGCTGCCTTAAATCTTGTGGATACAATCTATTAGTCCGCGACCCGACTCCCACTCAGTATGAACAGTACATTTGGATGTTATATGAGCACAGGTTACAAAAGATCAGCTTCCAAGCTTGATGATACAAAAGGTACAAATCCTCTGCACTTTATTACCAAACCAACCAAAAGCTTATCAAATAAAAGAACTATGCAGTTTATCACTAGGTTTGCAAAAGAGGAATAAAATTTCATCTACAGGATTGTGTGTATCATACAAACTCAGCCAAAAACTTCATTTTCCAATCTAAACAACTCAGACATGATTAAAAGTCATACATACACGCAACAATGGCTAAAACCCATAACATACAGAAACATGAATACAGGGTGCAAGAGTTTTGGTATTATTACATAAAATACAAGCAAACAACTGACGCCTATGTACTAATTCCTAGATATTTTGAAAACAAGCATGGTACCTAAACTTTAGGGAAGATGAATGATCTAAAGCGATGGAATCATTGGATAGTAATTGCTTGTGCGGCATTGGTGTGTGCTCTAACATCAGACACACTGTTTAGGAGATGATGCAATGCTTTCTCAAAATTCACGAATCCCATGAACCAGAAGTCGTGACCATCAATTGTGACAATCTGGGTGTACTTCTCCGAAGTATTTTCTCTCATTGTCACAGGGTTGATCGTCCCAATGTTTCCTAATGGTATCGCAACCTGTTCATTGTATGCATTAGTCAACAAATGACAGTAGCAATTTCAGAAAGAGTAATTTGGGTCATTCAAATTATTTGACATAGAAAAGTTAGGCATTTGGGGTGTGTTGTGCCTTTGACACCCCTTCTCGGATTCATGACCCGGATTGTTTTTCACAAAAAAAGATTGGATCAAAGAGAAGGCTTGGTGGAATTGGTGATTCTAATCAGATACATTCTAACTTAAAGAATAGTGCTGTTGTTCACAAGAAGATTGAATAAAAGAAAGAATCTTGGTGGAATTGGTAATTCCAGCATACTGAGTCGTATTCTAAGTTTAAGTGATAGCTTTCCATCAAAATTCAAACGTGTGACTTCGAAATTTGTGATCATAGTTTCAGATAGCTGGTATCAACTGTTTCAAATACAATCAAACTGTATATACTGTCTAGGAAAACAAAATTCTGGGTTTACCTTGTAGTAGCTCCAAGCTTCCTGTCCAGATGGAGCTATGAAAGATAAGGGACGATCACTGCAGAAAGCCACACGAGTGGTTGATAGATAAAGGGTTCCGGCAACAGGGCCAGTTGTTGTGGAAAGATAACAAGCAAACGTCTTCTTCAGCTTCTCGTTTGGATCAGCTGCAAAAATCTGCTTGTAAAGAGACTCAAATCCACCTTCCGTAATTGCCTTGGCTGTCAGATTAACCTTCCCCCACGCAGCTTGCGACACAGATGGCCCCATTTTCACTGAATTTATCCACAGACATAAAGAAATTGCAAAATAGTCAAATACATACTTCCACTGGGTTTTCTGTGCACGCAGGCCGTCTGATAATCAGCTCCAACTACGGATTGATTGGTGAAGCTTATTGCATAAACATATGTGATTGATTAACATGCCAATTTTACAAAAGTGATTAGGATTGTGGACTTACAGTTTTGCCAGATGTTGCGGCCTATAGTCTCAGCTCTGTGGCTCCAAGAGTTGAACATATGAATGACGGGTTCAAAAGGATTGTTGCTGGGTTTGTCCACAGGGGAGTAGACGAGGTAAGGCTGGTGGTGGTATTGTTGCTGGTGATCCCCAGCATTCCACAGGGCTGCCTTCTGATTATCAGGATGAATTGTTGGGATTGCCGGTGGACCCATGATGTGGGTGCCCCACTTCTTGGTGTCCTCATGAGATGGTGGTGGTCCGGCAGAAGGTGAAGCAGGTGGTCCATGGAGTTGTGGGTCTTTAACTTTGGAAGGTGATAAAGGAGATCGTTGATTGGGTTGATTTTTCTCAGGTGTGCCTGCCATGATTGAAGAAATGGAAGGTAGCTAGACCTTGAGAAATGGTGTGATTGGAGTCTGGTTGATGGTGGTGGTGATTTGAGATCTTTGCCAAAATTGGCTTGAACTTTCCATTAATTTTATAGAAGAGAGTAAATTGTAGATTAAGGTACTGTGTGATGTATGTACACGTCTTCTTTTCCTTTTCTTTGCCACTAAGCTATTTGTTGCAAAACCTGGCAAGGAGATCAGGATCATATTCTTATCTTGAATTGCCTTTCTGTAAGAGGCGTGTCTCAAGCACACGGTCTGGCAATCTTATTGGCTTCTCGTTCACCGTTTGGTATCCAGAGAAAGAAAACAACAAGTTTCCGGCACATGAAAGCGGGTGGGGCTCCTTTTAAGTTTGTGGTCAAGGATGGGTTAATATCTGTGTCGAACACAAATGCTATCAAAGTGTTTTAGCAGAAATGCATTTTTATCCAGTAAATTGGACATCTTAAATTATGCTCGACAAGACATTCTATCTTGCAATGAATAGTATTAAATTTATTTCCTTTTTTAGAAAACCCAAGAGATATGCAAAATTTAAATATTTTCAATATACACGTGACGTGGCCTCTTAAAATTTTCGACAAGTCTTGCGAGACAAACTCATATAAATATATAAAAGGAGAATATAATTATCTCAAATATGTACAATAAGGTAATTAGCATTAGAAATTGGAATTGGATTAAGGATTCTTGAGTTAGTGGTAGAAAATGAAAATGCGCAAGACTAGGGCATGACATATATAAAATTAACTAGCAATAACTCGATGCTGAAGATATTCTATAATATCAAATTTTGAATATTGTTTTAATTATATAATTTAAAATTAAATTGAATAGAGAAAAAATAAATGAGAGAAAAAAGATAGATGTGGATTAATTTGGTTATTTGAGATTGAGTTATTTGACATTATAAGGGTCAGGGAAAAAAATTTGAGGCTGAATTTTGGATCATTGAATTAAAATAAATAAAAAATTAAATTAATCTTAACTGTGTTGTAATATTATAATTAGTATAACTTCTTAGCGGTAAATATTAAATAGATTCTTGCTGCCGACATGAAGGAAAATTCCTCCAAACCCAAATTCTTTAAAGGAAAAGAACAGTCTGGTAAATGGCACATGGCTCACTTGCTGGCCTGTTAATCCGGAAGCCTAGTAGTCCATGGTTCGGTCCGGCCCACCACATGATATGTAAACAGAAAAGTAACCCATATAATAGGGAACCTATCGTCCGTGGTTTTAGGGCCGCTAAGTCCAATAAAGGGTTATGAAGGTTTCCCTCCTTGTAAAACACAAGAACCAATTTGCTGAAACGGAAAATTGTGAATAGGCAGGCTTATGAATTATTTATTTGTGAGAAAATATTTTTTAAAAATATATTGTAGATAAGTACAATTAGATGAAAATGTATTGTATGTATATACACAATGAGTTTTCTAAATTTTTTTCTTTTCTAAATTACTAATTTTCATAATTCATGTACTGCACAATTTGACAATTCGTTATTTCGTGGGATTTGATTTTATTAAATCAGCCGTTTCTCTATTTTAGGAGATCTTTTTTTTTTATTTTTGAATTTTAAACATATTTTTCTTCACAATCAATGACGTCTAGTTTAATTCACCCAAAGTTGGTGCTCATCTTCTTCAACGGATGCTTATGCTTCAACGTTGGGTGGTCGTATTTTACTTCTTCATCTACGGTTTTCCACTCACACGTTGCACAGTATTTCTTTTTCGTCAACTTCTGCTATTTCAACTCAGAAGTTGTGGTTTCTTCTACTTTTAAAGATTTGTTAAGAAAAATACATGTCGGAGTTTGATTCTGTAGGCTCCATATACCAGCATGCATTTTTTTTTCCATTTATTGCATTCATAATATGGATACCACATTGGGTAGTCACATTGTTACAAGCACAATATTCGATCGACAACACTGTCACTTTGCAATGTTATAATGTGTTGTAATTTTGTCATTCATTAAAAAATAATACATATGTATGTCACACTGTGTGATGCATATCATTTAGATTGTGTATTTTATCAGTGATTAAAGTGTTAATGAAGATGGATCAGTATTTTGTCATATTATCGACAATCTATATTGGAAAAGAATGAAGATCGATCTTCAATGGTGCTTCAACATCTGTTCTATCATTTCACAGCCGGAGGAGATTGACCCTTCCCCGAGTCAGTCCAGTCAGAAAGGAGAGGGCCCGCTGTCGGCCTTTTCCAGCCGAAGGCGGGTAAGGGGGTTGTCGTTCTCTGCTGCATTGGTGTTTTCACTCCCCACTCTCCACCATAACAAAATGTTTCCACTATATCTCAGGAGTAGTCAAAGGGCCTTTCGGCGATCGAGCAGGGTGAAAACAGTGGTGGGAGGGGGGTACACTGCCCTATCTTTCTGGAAAAGAACGAGGCGAACGATTCAACTTCCTCAAAAATTTCAAATGATTGAGTTTTTTTTTTTAGTGTTTGGTTAAAAACTGAAAGATTTTGTGACAGATTTTGTTTAAATTTGAAAACCCATATTTTTAACAATGTAGCAGTAGCTAGATTTAATGGGAACTTGTGGGTAATTTTGTCAATCAAGAAAATAACATACTTATGTACGAAAGGTTTTTAATTAAGGACTTTTACATAATTAAGTACTATAATGTGTATGAGTCTACAAAAATTTCTAAGTGAAAATTAGAAATAAGTATAGTCTAATTATTTTTTTATTAATAAAAAATTTATTAAAATAAGCCATTAGAAACCCGTTAAGATGGGTGTCCATGTGCCTTATATTTTCGGGAGCAGGGTAATGCTGACCCTATTCCTAAAAAAGTATTCATTATAATGGCTAAATCACACCAATATTATTTTGAGGTATTATCGTTAAATAATAATTTATTTATCAAAAAGAACAAACTAACAAGTGAACAAAATAAATCTCGCCATTTCAAAAATTATCCTTCCATTTAAGACATTAATGATCTCATATAAAAAAATATGGTTCGTTTTATTTACTTAATTGTTTATTATTCATGAATTCTCTAATTTTAGTGTAGATAATCTATCTTTAACCGAATTAGAAAAAAGATTGATCGAAATATTTGTAAAATAATCCGGACATCCTTGACCGTCAATTAAAAAAAAATTATTTATTTATTACTAGATTGTTACATGACGGATGTAATATAACGTTGGTCTCATCTTTAGGTACGTGACAGTATGTGTGACACCCGTAACGCGTGTTTGATGGAAGATTATCGTGTCATATTATAAGGGCTCCTTCTTTACACGTGACATGAAGAGAAGGTGGACAGTTAATTTTAGCATTGTTTTTTTGTGTGTGTAGTCTGTCGCAACTTACTATCAAAGATAACGAATCTGGACCCATCTTCAAGCGATGTCTGAAAGCACTACTACAGATCTACATTTTCCATCATCTTCGCTGATATAAACACGTTTTGCTGGGGTTAGAAATTGATAAGTTGTTCCAACTCTAGAGTTGAATATTGAAGGCTAAGAGCGATGAGGTACCACCATGTTCACGAAGAGGCTTATCCTCCACCACCACCAGGTATCAATCTATTCCTCAACCAAATCTTCTCTAAATCTCCATTACTTCATTTTACATTTTCCTCATGCATGCAGCAGTATTTCCACCACCTTCTGATGGGTACCCTCCTCCACCTCCACCACCTGGCTATCAAGATTATTTGAATGAGGGTTACCCTCCACCACCAACTCGACACATTGACCACCAGCACTATGAGTCCCGCCGTGGCAATGCTTGTTCTTCATTCTTAAGGGGCTGGTATGCCATAATAATTTATTATAAGTAGACTTCTCCTTGGATTTCTGACATTTTTGTGGAAACTTGTTTTTACTATTTGCATTCATAAAAACAAATGCAAAATTATACCCTCGCCGGTGAACTAAATGGAGTTGACAGTGTTAATGAAATTAAAGCATTCCTGCTTACATGTATAGGCTCATTTGGCCTTTCTATGCTTCTATCTATCGTATACGTAAATTGTTTGGTGCACCTTCCAATCTCTTCTGTACATGGGTCTCTAGCAATCTGTCAATGGTAAATATCTAGCCATTTGGAATAGGAATCCTCACGTGGATAGAGACAACTTTGCAAAAGTAGGTTCAAATTCGTTCAAGTTATGACTCAATTTGAGAGTTTATAGTAGGGATTTATATTTAACATATAATACCATCTAGCTTAGGAGAATATTAATTGTGATTTTATTCTATGAAAATTAACTTGATCGCTTGTTATAAAAGTGAAGCATCTGCCTTCTATTCGAGGGTTTTAATGTCCCATAGTACAATTTCTCTTTTACCTTTTTTTTTTTTATCCTTTCGAGGGTTTTAAGTGGCATTGGGGCCCCAAGGGCCAGAGTTACCAGTGACTAGTGTCAATGGCTAGATATAGAGGGTGTCGACGCAATGCCAGCACTTGATGCTGCAGAAAGCATTAGACATTTGCAGTTAATGTAGTACTTTTTGGAAAAATAGGTTTTATAAACATCGATTCTCACTCTGAAGAAAAGTTGCTACTATATATGGTCATGTCTTATGCAGGTCCTGCAATCTAGACTTTATTACATGGATATTCCAATAACCGGGGGTTGAATGTCTTTTCTATTCTCCCTTTTCTTTTTTTAAAGCCGATTAGCATAGCCTAATTGTGCCAAATGTGGTGTTAAATTGTTTGACCCTTTTGCAGTTTAGCTGCCCTTTGCTGCTGTTGTGTTCTGGAGGAATGTTGCTGGTGCTGCGTCTAGGCTGTTCATTATACTTTGTTAAGTACATGTTACTGTCCAAGAACTTCCACTCATGGTTCTCTAGCTATGTGCTTATATAATCCTTGTATTGCATTAAGAGATCAAAGTAAGCTGAATTGAACTGTTTGTAACTTATCGTTTTATAGGTTTGGTGTGGGCAACTATGTTTCGAAAATGTTTCTTCCTTATTTTAAATGTGTGATATATATTTATTTCTAGGCTTGGTTTGAGGTGTGGTAAATGGATGGATTAGGTTGGTTATGAGTTGTGTTAAATTGAGTCAGATTAAAATAAATTCAATCCATTTTTCACTCGCATATTAAATGAGTTATAATGAGTTAGATTTATAACGAGTTGAGTTAAACTTATGGGCCTTTGGATACCATTTTTTTTATTCTTATTTGGACTTAAATACAGTCAAAAAACTTGTTTGGGAATAAGTTTATTTAGATCTTAATTGTCTAAAATACCCTAAATAGTTATATTTAATCAAAACTTGTTTGAAAAAAAGTAACAATTCCTAAAT